ATATTGAGGAAATTTAACAAAAGTATACTGCCGAGCTTGATGAGAAGTTGAATTCATTTGCATCCATGCTAATAACATTGAAGTCTCTGCCTTCTTAGAATTGAGCAAATCCTGAATGTTGGCACCCTCCTTGGAGTGAACAATATTTTCGCCTAGCAGATGAAACGACATTCGGAGCACAGAAGGGAACTGATTGTAGATATCAAACTTAAACAGTCTCCAACAGGCTTCACCTGATGTTATGTAGCGACAATCTAGGAATGCTCTGACTTCGTCGATGTCTGTTACACTGGTAGAGGTAAGTGAAGTTTCTGAATTTGTACTTGCTATTTGACTCCCAACTAAGGTTGCAGTAGCTCGATCTGCAGCCTTGTTGATGTACTTGAATAAGTACTTGATGGCCCTAAAAAACATATGACCAAGCAATATTATATGACAACAAAGTCAACAAAAAAGCTTTATTGTAAGAATATGAATGCTAAATGATAGAATAGCAATTATGCGTACAATGGTAGAAGATAAAAGAGATTGTATTAATTACGTCTAAATGAAAATAGACTTGTCACTTTTTTAAGAGAACATGGTTGTCCATGGTTTAGAGAACCATAGACAGAAACTCTGGAAATAGTAGTGAAAAAGAACTAAGTGGGTTGATGATTAGTATTGACAATACTCTAATTACCTATTCCTTTGTTGAGGAAAGGCGGCAAACTTAAAATGGGAAAGGGAGTTTATGAAAGCAAACAAATTCGGGTCTTGATACCATAAAATTAGGGAGATGGTGGCTAATTTTGAGTTTCTAATTTGAGGCACAACTCCTGATACCACAAAATTAGTAAGATGGTGGCTAATTTTTAATTTATAATTTGAGGGACAACTTACAAAGATGGAATCTACCCATATACAGGATGGAAAATGACCAAAATTATAATTACCTGGATCGGTTACAGAATTCCACGTTGATATGGGCACTGAAGCGCAACAGCAAGTATCGATTATATGGGACAACATAGCGGTTATCTAACTGAACACCATTTACCATCACCGTTCCTGTGTCCCGCCGCCGATATTTAGCAAAACCATTGTTGTCGATTGTAGTTTGAGTGCAGAATTGTTTTGGAAAGTGTTTTTTACAGTTGCCATTTTCCATACATTGAGCAGTTGGAGAAGAAGCACCACATGGACCATGCATCATGAAAGAAGTGACAGCAGCATAACCTTCGGGGTCTAGATTTTGATTGGGAATTTCAGCAGAGATAATAGAATCAATATCTCCTGGGGTGGTGATCTTGGCTTCTGCAACCAAGAAGACTAAAATATGAGCATGAGGCAATCCACGCTTTTGGAACTCAATTGCTTGGACATCTGAAATAAGAGAAGTGGGAAGTTAGCATATATTATATAAAATGACATAAAGAAATAAAAGTATTTATATAGTTTGCTTACATGCAGAGGTTTTGCCGAATATTTTTTTGTCTCTGATCTCTAGCATCAATTGAATTAGCTTTAGTCTAAAAACTCGTGCAGTTACATCCGCTCGGTTGTAATCTTTCCTACCGTTGGCATTGATTATGTCGACCATGAATTGAATTTCAGGCCAATTAGCATTGCAAGTAAATGTAATGAACAAATCAGGATAACCGGTCCAACGACAGATGGCCATTGCATCTTGAAAGTTTTCGTACTTGTATCGCGGGCTTCCTGTATGTGTGGCTGCTAAAATTATATGCTTCCCAGTTAATTTGAGATCTGTATCACCCCGTAGAAATGAATCAACCAAGCCACTGTAGTAATGGCGACGTAACTTTGACTGGTTGTTTCTGATCCAATCTAGGTGTTCAGCTTCTACCAAGGCATATGCATTGACCATGTATTGTTGTAGCAGCTTACCGGCCAACAATAATGAATTTGATTGATCAAACCTTGTTTGTAAGCGGTAGCTATAATAATTGCATTGCGACACCAGCGAAGGCTCTTTCTCATCATCATCAGCAAACTCTGAGCATTGTTCAATATTTGGATGCCATCCATCCTCTCCATATGGAAATGAGAGCGGATACTGCAAAGACATCAAACTGGGATGGTATAAGCTGATCCGATCAAGTTCTGATGTCTGATGTTGAACAATAATATCTGGCTCGAATGATTCCTGCCCTTTTTCATCAACTATCAGTGCAGCAATTTCATTCCCTGTGGGCAAGTCATACTCTTTACCGTCACCAGCTCGTTTTGCACATAGTTTGATTCGTACCTGCTCGAAATTTGGATCATTGACTCGATCCCTAGCAGAACGAAATGTCTGAGCCAATATATTATTAATGTCAAGCATCTCTTTCAGCCCTTCGATAATATCCTCCCGCAATGGATTAGCCTCCCGATCTGTTGGGAAGAAGTTCATTCTGTTCTGGATCTCATTTTCGTTGTCGTGAATGTATAGCTGTGCAAATTTTGGTCAATCACCGTCAACAGGAACTAAGCCACCGATGCGATGATATATCTGGCCAGATATAGAATAGGCGTAAACTCCATGTCCATCATTAATTTCTCGGTTCACCTTTCCGCCAAGAGATATGAAGCTGAAAACTCCATTGTAGGGTCGAATAAATTCTTTGAAATGACGGGCAATAGAACTGTTTGCTTCCAACAATTGCTTCAGGAATGCAGGTGGCTCACGCCGGGGAGGTAACTTGATCTTTCCAGCATTACTACATAGTGAAAATTGTGGAGTTACTTGACTTCGAGTTCTGTAAATGCTTTCTTCCCTCCACATAACATCACCGCAGAATTCGCATATACATGACGGTTCGCCAATACTAAATGGTTGGACATATGGGTATCCTAAAATGGGGAATGAAATGTGTTAGCAATCCTACAAACAGTGGGTCGGACAAATACATTACATTACTCCCTTTCACAAAGGCTAATACGACGCAATGCCCGTGCATGTTTTGATCGCAGCCGAGCAACAACAATATCATGTGCTACAAAAAACAGAAGTCCAAGATGTGGTAAGTGGCCACCAGAGAACTATTATTGTTACTTGGATCATGTAATTTTAGAAGAACCATAGGCAATATAAATTCTAAAGTTTAAAAAGTACATATGAGCGTCTGTTGTCTATCTGGTAAGTTTGTCAATTGGCGTCTGTTTGCGGCAAAAAAACTAATCATACGACTAACATCCTGCTGTTCAGCCTTCAACACCTTGATAACTGCAAGGAATTCATGATTTTGTTCAGTTAACCATAGTAGCATACTGCTCATAGGAAAACACTGCTAAAGTAAGTACCTGCTGAAAGTCGTCTTCTCTCTTGGCGTATTTCATCTGTTGTTGGAGGGTGAGTTTGGCGTACCACTGCTCTTCCTTCCCCTGTGACAAACACGCAAAATTAAAGACACAAAATATATTGTGTTGGTAAATTACCCATCTCGAACAAATGCATATGCATGTGAAAAGAGACGTACATTGTCCGACTGAATGACGAATAGGTTCACCGGGATGGGAGGTGGAAGTCTGGCTTGATCTAGGCTTACGGGCCATCAGCGGAGTGAGTTCTACCACAAATTTGTTAGGTGGACATATAAGATTGTGCTGATTCAACGGCACTTTAGGAACCTACAAACCCATCTTCAATCTGATTCACCAGTAGTTGGACACCTGAGAGTTAGAACACACACACATGGGATTAGAAATGACAAAGTAAGATTGTAGCATTTTTTATGGTGGAATTCAAACCCTTGAGTAATATGGAAAAGCGGCACGAATATGAAATTCACAACTGCCATTCAATAGAGAAGGAAGAAGAACAGATTCGGCATACTTAAATCGTGACGAATCTGACAACGACAACTTCATTCAATCAAAAAGGGGAAGAATAGATTCAACATTGTTATCCTGCCCCAAATTTGCTGGCTGGCCACCTCCTCTGTAGAAAGTAGATGAGGTATTGAGTGCGCGGATGCTGCTTGACCTTAACCTCTATGCAACCTCTACCGTACGTGTGGTAGTAGAATCGGGAATCCATAACAAATTCAATAATTGATACGGAAAAGGAAAAACCATCAAAACCTGAGGAATTCTATTGCCAAAAGGACGAAGCTGTGAATGAAACTAATTATTGAAGAACAAATTATACCGAAAAGGGAGCGCACACAATTTGGAGAATTGATGAAGTTGGCAGGTGACATTGCCATTCTCTCCCAGCTCATCTCAATCGCAGTCACCGCCTCCGCCTATATTCCTATTGCCACTCTCCGACGTAGTTTTGTTTCCTACCAATTGGAATCGGCAACGGATTCGTCACCTGAGGAAAGAATAGAAGCGAAGACAATCAGGTAATACCCAAAATCCAAAAGCGATTCAATTCGACGTAGCTCCAGATGGATTACGATTCTTCCTCCGGTGAAGTCTCTGCAGATTGTCCCTCACTTTTGCTGATGGCGGAGCGTGTGAAAGGCGAGAGGGGCGGTCACGGTCCAAGAATGAATTTGCAATTCTTTGTTGCTGCCGGCGAATACTAACGGCGGTAGTAGCGCGGCGGGAGCAGCGGTCAGTGGCCAACCTCTGATTTGGCAATTCTTCAATAATAACCCATTCCTTTCGAGCCCATTGTCGAAGATGAGAGTAGGGGTGGCTATACGGTCCGGTCCGGTTAAATTGGCCCGAATTGATCCGGTCCAGTCCGGTCTTTTTGAAAATATAGGGACCAAAGCTTGGATTGGGTACAGTCCGGTTTTGACCCGGTCCGGTTTTGACCCAGTCCGGTCCCAATCCGGTTTTGACCCGTTTTTTGTGCTAAAAATAGCTAAAACCCCCGATCAATCCGGCCCGTGTTAAAATCGGATCAAAACCATAAGACTAGATAACCTCTCAAAAAGATGGATGAAGCATGGTTTATGTGATTAACGCTAATAGACACATGTCATCCATAAGAAGAAGAAGAAATTAACACAAGATCGAACCGCAAAGATTTGAAGACGACATTAGTAAACAACGGAAGTCCAGGAGCCATAACACAATATCGAAATTAAACAGATCGAGGAAGCAAGCTAACAAATTGTTCTCGATCCAGTACTGAAACAAAGCGCGCAATTAAGAAGGAAAAACTGGAAAATAAATGAAATCCGCAATTCTCCTTGTCAGCATGCCATGGAGCCTTCCTTTGTCTCCTTGTTAATTTCCGAGAAACACAGTGGTTAGAGCCAATTTTGTGTGCATGAACGCCCTCAGCAATTTCATTCAGTACAACAACATATCAGATTAAAGTAAATGCATGAAAAATGACCTAAAAAACTTACTCAGCTGCTGCTCCCCACCATTTTTCAAGGTTCAGCGGCTTCAAGCTGTTGTGCTGGTCGGAGGGCGACGAGTTGCTGGGTCACGAGATGCGGGTTGCTGCTGGGTCAAGCTGCGTCAAGATGCTGGCGAGTGGCGACGAGATGTTGGCTGATGAGATGCTCGCTGCTGCTGGGTCACGTCGCGTCGCGGAGCTGAGCGGAGGTGGGAGTGACTGCGACGGCGCGGATCCGAGCGACGAGGCGACGACGAGATGCTGGGTCCCGGAGAGTAGGTGGTCGCCGCCCGCCTGCTGAGTTGGTTTGGGGTTAGGGAGCTCAGGCTCGGCCGCGATGCCGATTCGGAGGGGAGGGAATTGAGAGTATCGCCTGTGCTGCTGTGTGTTGTCTGTTTCAGAAGTTACAATTTGCAACCTTACAGTACAGTGGGATTCGACTGGGCTGAATGGGAGGGGGAGTGGGCTGAGTGGTTGGGCTCATCTAGGGCTTGGGTTTTGCATTTGGGTTAGTTTATTATTTATCCGGTCTCCCGGTTTTGACACGGTTTTGACCCGGATTGGATTGGTCCGGGTTTTTTACTAATTATGAGACCAAAGACGGGATTGAATTGTTTTAAATCCGGTCCCGGTCTTAAACGGTCCGGGTTATACGGTCCGGTTTCCGGTTTTTCATCCGGTCCCGATCTAAATAGCCACCCCTAGATGAGAGGGTACAGAATGGTCGGTTGGGAGATTGTAAACGCAAGGAGTGGAAGCCGTTTCATGCTTCCCACATTCAACGACAGCGTTTGCATGATGGCCCAAATTACCCTGCCACAAATTAAGGACAACCAATCCAATTGACAGGTGGCAGGAATGGTTTACAGTGAAATGCATAGTATTTTTTGTAGATATAGTACCAAAGCGATCCGATCTGACTCGATCCAACTTATTTAACCGGATGATGATGACCCGAATCGGCTAATCCGTAAATCAATCGTAACTTGATGGAAGAAAGCTGCTTATCTATAAACGTTGTTAATGGAGAAGAAGGTAAAGAGATTGATTATGGTCGGGTCAAAAAGGGATTCGGTGAGGTCAAATTAGAAACCGGTTTTCACTTAATCAACGGTCAAAGTGCAGTCTAACTTCAACCGGAATTTTTGTTCGAACCATGATCGAAATGAAGGTTGACCGTGACCGAATGTAAAGTTATTTTCTTTTGGCCTATGGTCGAACCATGCGGGCAGTCTTCTGTTTGGTCATGGTTCAATCGAAAATTATTTTTGGGTCCAACCAATTATTTTATTATTTTGAAAATTTGAAATTTTCTAGACTATGATTAAATGTATCAATATTTAAGGGTCGTTTGGATGGATCAAAGTGATGAGTCAATTTGTCCTAATTGCCTCAAAATGAGACAATTGAGCCAAATTGTCTCATTTGGCAGCCCAAAAATTAAATGGAGCAATCTGTACCGAGTCAATTCTGATTGATCCATTAGGGGTCAATTCAAATAACCTGGGTGGGTGGCAGGTAATTATCATTGACGCGTTTTTTATCCCCTCTTTCCAACTTTATCCTTCTTTCTCTTTTTTCCTTTTCCCTTTCCTTCCCAACTGCTACATCTTCTCACCTCTTGTTCATCTCTTTCTCCCTGGCAGAGGATGATCTACATCGACGAGAAGATCACTGATCCTTTCAACCAACTCCCCTCTATTCCTTTCTTCTCTTTCCTCCCTTTCTCACTGGTATGCGAAGAACTTGGCTACCTTGCTCAATTTGGCTTGCGAAGAGGGAGGATATGATCTGGGTTCCTAGGATTCTGTATGTGGGTCGCCGTGGATTGATTTAGCAGTGGTCGAGCTTACTATGGATCACCGATTTTGGGAGACTAAATCAGCTACCACTGCATTAGTTTGCGATGAAGCTTTGGATCCGCCACCTCTTGCTTCTCTATCTCTGTTTCTTGAACGAGGACGGACAGTTCTAGATTTCGCTGGGTATGTGGTGGTGACGGTGATGCAAACCCTGCGTTCCGTCAATAAAGGGTCGGAGTGCACAGCAGGCGGCGCCTCTCCAAATCCCTAACCAGATTCCTCCCCAAATCGACTCCTTTTTTGGACCTAAGGAGAGCCACCGCTTTCAGGCGAGGTGGTGCTTGGAATTGAGGTTTCGAAAAATCTCGATAATGCTTTTGAATGAAGGAACAAGTTGATTCAATAATGGCCTCACATGATTTTGTTTCATCGGAGAAGAGCGTGGAAGTTGACAGAGAGAAGGGAAATGTGGCGGGTGGGTGGGTGGGTGGGTGGAAGGTGAGGAAGAAGGCATGTCCTTTGTTTGTGGATGAGTAAGGATAGATGTGTAATTCACCAAAAGGACTAACCCACATATCCCCATCCCACAACCCGTTCCAAATGGGACCAGATCAGGTCAGTAACCCATCAGTAACCCCTTCACTTGTTTCCACGTGTCAGTCCCTTTTTTTATTTAAATTAAATGTGAAAGGACAGTAAAGTAAAATTGCCCCTGCCCCTATTTATTGCCAACGCTGACTTTTGACCAGATCACATCAGCGCCTCCTCTCTCCTCGAAAAACCTTTAATTATCCTTTTCTTAATCTTTAACAGACAATTTCTCACTCGTTTTAAGTAGAAATTTAATTTTTTTTTTTTGCACACTTAGATCAGATTAATTGTGCTCTTCAAAATGATATCCACTTTGATATTTTTTTGACATAAAAAAATTTGTCAGTTATTACCAGTCATACCATATGGTATTGACTGGTATTAAATAAGATCATACCATATGGTATGAAAAAATTTGTCACATCAATATATATTACGTTACCAGTTACCACACTATACCATACCACCCAATACCATATGGTATAGTGTGGTAATATCAATATATATTTCGTTACCACCTAATACTATATGGTATAGTGTGGTAATATCAATATTTATTTCGTTACCACCCAATATCATATGGTATAGTGTGGTAATATCAATATATATTTCGTTACCACCCAATACCATGTGGTATAGTGTGGTAATATCAATATATATTTCGTTACCACATAATACCATATGGTATAGTGTGGTAATATCACACAATACCATATGGTATAGTGTGGTAATATCAATATATAATTCGTTACCACACAATAGCATACATTAACATATGGTATAGTGTGGTAATATCAATATATATTTCGTTACCACCGAATACCATACTGGATGGCAAAACGTCACCCTAGTTTTACTATTATCGCCCTAATTTAAAACGCAATTTTACTAAACTATCCTTGATTAATCAATCCAAATTCAACAAACCAAACAGACCCCTAAAATACCCAATCCTCATTTAACGTGTCTAACCTCTACAAAAAACCAATCCTCGGCGACCGACATCCTTACTCCATCGCCAATCTTTCTAAAGTTTCAATCTTGGATAAAAACTTCTTTTTTGAGAGCACATGGAAGCTGCTCGTTGGCTTTGTCACTAGCAACAAGTCAACAACCCTTCCCCAAACCTTATCATCCCTGTCGACTCCTGCCGTTGATTTCTCCGATCACCTTCAACACGGACTCGGACCGTCGGACGTGTACAGCGTCTTCAAGAAATCAGTCGTGTCTGTAACTCCATTGCTTCTTCCAAGGGAATGATGTGCGTGTGTTGCGAAACCGGATAAATTAATTTCAATTGAAAACGCTACTTGAAGCCTAAAACCTGCCGCCTGATTGGCGTAGCCGATGAGCATGGTTGCTGCCGCATTTGGCTCCAGCAACAAACCCCATAGTTGCTTCGCCTAGGTAGGGAACCAAAAAATAATTTATACCTATTCAGTTTTAATGGTGGAAGGAATTTTGTTTGTTTTAATAAAAAACGTAAAGGATAAAAAAGTAATTTTAATGTCAAAGTTAGGGCGATTAATAAAATTTAGGGCGACAATTAGCAACCCTCATACTATATGGTATAGAGTTATAATATCAATATATATTATCTAAAAGAAAAAAAACAGAAGGAGGTAGAGAAAAAAAAATCGTCTTCTGTCGCCTCTCATTTCCTCTTTCGCAATCAAGAACACCAAAATGCCGAAAAATGAGAAATATCGAAATTGAGGCCAACGAGATGATGAAGAGAAGAAATGCAATGAAAGAGAGTGGCTGCAAATTTTATTCGTCCTGGAGAAAAAAAAATAAAGAAGAAGAGAAGAGAGTAGATTTAGATCTCAAAAGGAGATTGAGAGAAAAAAAAAAGGAAGAGAGAGGATCTGGAAAAGAGATTGGGAGAGAAAAAGCAAGAGAGAAGGAAGAGAGAAAGATAAATGAGAGTTGCAGAGATATAATGGTTTCTCTTTCCTTTTTTGAAAATGCAGCCATTTAATACGAAATAAAATAAAAATAAAGAATTTAATATATAAACGGACAAAAATACCCTTCTCCATTTAGCATCCGGCCCAACCACACGATTGCATGCCTCCTAGTTCTACGATCACTATTTATTACTCACCTGTCAGTAACCACTTGGTTACTGACCCTATCTCTTGCCGTTCCAAATGATAGATTTTTGGCAAATTTCCTCAATCAATTGACTCATTTCCTAAAATGAGTCTTTTGTGTCTAATTGACTCATTTTGAAAATGATCCATCCAAACGACCCCTTAGATTTAAGGGTGCTTATGGATATTTGATTTTTATTATAGTGTTTGTAGGATGAAAGAAAGTTTAAACGTAAAGAAGAGTACAAATGTAATTTTAATATTTTTAGGACGACACTTGATTTTTAGGATAACGAATAGCCACTATTTTTAGGATTCAAAAAAGTATTTTTAGTATTATGGTACAAAATAGCTCACATGTTTTGAGGGATTTATATTACATTAGTTTTGTTTGAAATGTAAAGGGTTAATGTGCCTAAACTTCACACTAATTGACTATATTGGTCCGAGTTTTTTTGAAATCCTCATCTTGCCTTTGGAAACTTAAAACGCAATCACACACCACTTTGACTTAATTTACCACCTTAGTGTTAGAGAGTGATATAAGATCCAACATAACCTTCTCTCAATTAATACAACAATTAATCTTGAAAGTCGTGAGAATTTGAACACTTGATCTCAAGAACAAACTAGTTCCGATACCACATCATCTTTAGTGGTCAAAACCTTTCGTAGAAGTGCCAAGTGGTCGTGTGTTCGAATCTCCACGACCCTAATATTAACAGTTGATTAAATGCACAAGGTATGGTGGGCCTGTGCAAACTTCAAGCCCAAGGGTTGGCTTTCGTTTGAGGGGGCTTGTTAGAGAGTGATATAAGATCCAACATAACTTTCTCCCAACAACTCGAGTTATTGGGACCAACTGGTTTATGACAGCACTTCATATCTA